TCTATAATCTTTAGTGATCCAGGAGGTATAGATAAGAAGAAGAGGATCACAGTTGGAGGCCAGCCCAGGTAACAAATATTTACAAGAATCCTCCTCAACCAATTAAAAAACTAGGTGTGGTGGCATGTGCCTGTCATTCCAGCCACAAGGAAAACTTAAAAGTAAGATCACAGTCCAAGCTGAACTGGGCATAAATGTGGAGACTCTATTTGAAAAATAAAAGCAAAAGACTAGATATATGGATCAAATGGTAGGGTGTCTTCCTAGCAAACATAAGGTGCTGAGTTCAAACTTCAGTGCCACTGGAAAAAAGCTAACATAGTTTAGAGCAAGATCAGAATACAGATGCAAATTCATAGTCAAAAAATCTGGGTCAAGTCCTAGTATTTGCTAGTTAATGGATATATAATCATCCTGTGAATTCAGTTTCCTTATTTATAAAATTATAAAATGGAAATAACAAATCTTACCATTTCTCTTTCATGACATTATATTAAATATCAGTGAGTCAAGTATAGATACAAGTGATTAATGGACTGTCATTCAAATACATTTATTTCATAAATAATACCCATCTGAGCAATAAAAAGACATTGTGTTGGCTCCTCTACATTAGATACCAGGTTAAGATCTTCCTATTTGTTATCTTTTATTAAGCACCAATTGTACCCTAGCACTAGATCAGAGGCTTACAGAAACAACAACCCGGATCCTAGATGTTGAGGCTCTCACTGAGAGGTGACACTATTTATATCACACTAAATGGTATGCATATTAGAAGCCACCAGCTGCTTCAGTCAAGAAATATTTTGCAGAGGGAGAGGTTGATCAAGCAGTACTAAGTTATAATTAGCTAAGAATAAGAAATTCTAATGTGCTATTGAACAGGTGAATAGTTCTAGATAACAATAATGTATTGTAATTTTTTTACATTTAAAGAGTTTGGAAGTTTTTACCCTAAATTAATGATAAATGTTTGAAGGGACATATGTTTAAGTTGTTTTAAACATTATATAACTCATTCTAGTATCAAAACATCAAATATTACCCCATTAATATTTCTATTTTTATTTGTCAGAAAAAAATTAAATGATAAAAACAAAGGACATTTCATTGAGAGATATCACTTAGAATGAATCATTATAAATGAACAAGGGCATACCAGACAGATAAAGTAAGAGCATCCCAGGGAGAAGTGTGTACAAGAACAACTGATATGTAAAAGAATAATATGTGTGTGGAGGGCAATGAAAAATCAGAAATCTGAAAAGTAATGCCAAATATGTACCATCAAATTAGAATTAAACTGTCAAATGGAAAAGGGAATGGAACTTTGCATGGTACCTATGCAGACTAATGAAGGAGCGTAATACTAAAGATGTTTGAAGAAAATACTTGCAAATCATGTCCCATATATGTGTATGTACAAACTTACTACTAAACAATAAAAATATAAAAGATTCAACTGAAGATGGCCAACGATTATAAACAGACAATTCTCTGATAATTGCAAAACCCTGTCAATTTCACAGGCATAGTGATAGCCAACAAGTAACAGAAATGAAAGTATCTTTCATTTTTCCAATTGGAAGGTAAACTAATCGTGGTTAATCTTCCTGACTTAAGAAAAAATAACTTGCACTGCTAACTTCACCATGGATTCTTCTGGTATTTGTTCAAGATTCTAGGAATGTAGGCTAACCCCATATTAAATGTCTTTCTAAGCACTGTTTTTGACAACTTAATTTGTTAAAGCCCATTTACTGAAGATGACTAATCTACTAGACCTATCTGTGCCAAGCAGATGAACACCATTTTGGAGTGTTCCAATCACTTCTGACCAGCTCCATTTCCTCACAGTTTCTCTTTACTTTGGTTGGAAGGAAAAAGAAATAAATACTTACCACACGCACTACTTCTCAAGGAATTGTGACATTTAATCTTCCTATCTCTCATCTAAATTACAAATAAGGAAAAACTGGTCGAGAAAGGATAAGTAGCTTTCCCAAAGTCATTTAATTAGCTAGCATAATTAGGAAAAGGATAGTAGGAGAAAAACAAAGGAGAGGGTAACAATGCTCTACAAGAAATGCACTCATTACTTTATTCATGTAACTGTAACCCCTCTGTATAGCATCTTTACAATAATAAAAAAAAGAATTTGAGTTGGGCTGAACACCATGTCATTCCCTCTAGAGTTAGGCAATAGGTACTCCTACAGAGTGACACTTTTTAGAACAGTTATTCTTTGTAGATCTGTTCCCCTGACCCTACTTTCAATGCCTTTTTCAAGCTGGAGTTTGTGTACCTACTAATTTAAAAAGAATGATAACATTTACATATTAAAGACCTCTCTGGCTTATTCCCTTGACAACCACACACCTAATATTAGATATGAAAAGATTCTCTGTGAGTGTTTGTGAGGTTTTAAAAACTTCAGTTTGGGAGAACACAAACTCTTAGATTTTTCAACAGCAAAATAAAGTTGGTAGGTCTGCATCACTACAGAAAATATTTTCAATAACATGAGAAACTGGTTGCAAAAAATTAGTTTCAAGTAATGCAATGTTTCAGGTTACTTTCACATTATATAATATAGAATGCTACATGAAAACAACCCATAAGGAAACCCACCAAAAACTGTTCAAAAGGAGAGGGGAAGAGGAAGAGGGGCTAACAAAAAATAATATAGATGGAATAAATTTCAAAGTATATTTTATATATATAATATATATACATGTATATATATTATATATATTATATATATATATATATATATATATATATTGTATTTGTCACAATGAAGCCTCTTTTTTTTTTGGACAGTCATTGGGCTTGAACTCTGGGCCTGGGCACTGTCCCTGAGCTCTTCAGCTCAAGGCTAGTGCTCTACCTCTTGAGCCACAGAGCCACTTCTGGCTTTTTCTGCTTATGTGGTGCCTCATGCATGTGAGGCAAGCACTTTACCACTTAACTACCTTCCCAGCCCAATGAAGCCTCTTTTACAACTAATCAATGCTATTTTTTTAATAAATCAGTTGAAAAGAGTTTTATTGTGAAGTAACACAAACTTTTGTGTTCTGGTTACTTTCACATTACCATTCTTACCTGGACCTGTAAGCTAAGGCATGATGCAGCTAATCTAATTCTAATTTCAACAAGTCTAATTTTAAAATAGCTGTCAACCATTCTGTTTTGTAAGTTATATACTTCATATAGAAAAAATTCATTGTAGCATTATACCCAGCAAAAAGTAACATGGCTTATGGTCATACATTCATATGCATAGGTATATATGTCTAATGCATATTTTTTACAAATAGGGTTATATAATACAAACTTCCCTATTACTTTGATTACAAACAGCTTTGTTGAGATATAATTCATATATATACTATTCACCCATTTAAAGTATCTGAAAACTTATTAGAAATGCAAGTCCCTGGGCTCTACCAGGAACTACTGTATTGGGGTTCAGCTGTCCTTTTGATTCTGGCATGTATTAAAATTGGAGAATTGCTGCTGTGAGTGTCTGTTTCTGTACTATAATAGCTGTCATTGTTTGGATTTAAATTCTCAAAATTATTAGGGCTACATTAATCTGTTTGAAATATGATTACAGTACAGGCATAAATAGGACATATCTATAATAGAAAGAGTAAGGCTATCTCTTTATTTTTTCCATTATTAACGTACAAAAGCATATAAACACACCAAAACACTTCTACCTCTCCTATTTTTCTGTTTGACCCTTATTCTTTCCTCCCATAGCTTTGATAAATGAACAATTACACCATTTCTGCAGCATTAAGATACCAAAGGTTAGAAAACCTCGCCTACCTGACAGTCATACTTCTAAGTAATTACCCTACCACTGAGCTACATCTCCAACCTCTAATTCTCACATTTCTATAATGATATCCATGAGACAATGAACCTTATAGACTAACTCTCATTAGAAATTGGGTTATTGGCAAAAAATGGGATTTCATTAGAGTCACAGATCAGAACTGAAGGGGACTATAAATCTGTCCTAACCTAGACTCACATTTTAGAATTATGGGAAATGAAGCACAGAAAAATTATATTAAATACTGATGCCACATGGCAAGTGCTGCCTTTCTCCTGCATTTACTATATATTGTATGCTACCTCATTATAATGGCTTTTGACCAGATATACACATGAAAACCACCTTGGGAGATTTCATTTAAAGATATATTCAGAAATATGCATTCTTATTTTACACTAAGCAGAAAAGTTTGATATACTTTAACTGTATCTTGAAGACATTTGTGGACACCCAGTATATTTCTCTAATTCATTAGCACTATAGAGAGAGGACAGTGAATGTTAACAAAGTCAAAAGTATTTGAAGAATTAATATACACATGAATAGCTTCACAAAGCTGTATTCTATGTTCATTTGTCTTTATATTCCCTCCATTCATGTTATTTGCTACTTCTTACATCAGAGGTTTGCATCCAGTAGCTCATTCTGTACTCTAATACCAACTATTACCAATGTGAGTTAAGCCACCAAATAAATATGATCTTTAATACTATAACAAAGACAATTGTAAAACAACATCAATGAAAAACTAGAAAATTTAGTGTATGGATTCTGTGATATTTGTTTTGGCTGCCGTGTAATGGAGAATCAATGTTGACAGCTAAGATATTCTTTTAAAAAGTGGCATGTAGCAACACTCTCTTCACAAACCAAAACAATGAATAAACTCTAGAATTTTTATTAATTTAAGGAAGGCATACACTTCTATATCAAGATTTCTCCTTGGTGGATACCTCTATTTTTTAGAGAATTTTTATGTTCATAGCAATATCTGACTACCAAAATGCAGAAATTTACCACACCACTTCTATCCTGGCCTTGTCCATATACACCTACAACTTCTCCTTCTATGTATGTCCTGAACCACAAAAATTCTGGTAGGTTTTATAAGCTTTGCAAATACTTCCAAAGGCAAAGTTTGGATTACCTGTAACACCACAGAACTGTGAGTATTGCTGGTAAAGATGCGAGTGCTTCCTGCCTTGGAAGACTGCAAATGGGAAGATAGGCCCATTTCGCTGTTTCCAAGGGACAGTTTCATGTGTTGGTCTTCCTCTTCCACAAGAGATCTGAAATTTTTGTAAAATCAGAAAGAAAAGCAAATCAAAACATGAATAACTCACAATCATGAAATTATTTTTAAACATAATCAGTCACTACTGCCAATCATCAGATTATAGATTATGATGTAGTTTGTTTTGTTTCACTGCATTCCAGGCTTGTATCAATCACTCTGAATCATAGAAGAAATATAAACATAAGATATTTTTCAGGATTGAAAATATACACAAGAACTGGGAGATGATTTAAAAGATGGCATTAAATGACAGTCACAAAAGATACTAGCATCACTTTTGTTATTTCTCTAAGAAAGAAATGCCATCAAATGGCATTATTTAGTTAAATTTGTAATATCTAATTTTAAAGATGAAACTAATAGTTTTCATTTATTGAGTAGTTGATATGTATCAGGTACTTTCCAATAATTTTATACATATGACCTCATTTAATCCTTAAAAAATCCCATTCAGTAGGTCCTATTTTATTATCATCTGTTTATTCAGGGTATAGCTAACAAGTGAAAGCAGCGTTAAAGTAATCTATCTAGGGTCATAATGTTCTTAAAATGGTTGGATTAGGATTTAAATCAAGGTCTAATCTTATTTCAAACTCAGGGTCTCCATTAACAAAAGTCAAAGGTCAACACTAATATATTAATAAATTACTTCCATTTCTGATCATTTAATCAATTCAGGCTGAGTGAAATTTTATACATGAAATAATTTAATATTTTTAAACTAAATAGCTATAGCCAATAGCATCTCTGACTTTTCATACAAATGAATAAAATAAATACAAGATATTCCCCATATGTGTATAACTAATTTTTCAAGGGTCATAAAAAGTATTGGAGAATCTGAAGTCAATAGGACACTTAGTTGTCCAGGTAATAGGACGAAGTATGTGATAGTAAAAGGCTTCTTGTTATATTAAACTGAAAATTCACCATTAGGGAATGACCTCTTATTATTCTTTAGAAGAGGTACACATGGTTACAATTCTTTCTGAATCAATTGCCTAAAAGCAAGGAGGCTACAGTTCCAAATTAGTGTGTATATTCGTGATAGAAATTGCTAATCATTAATTTAAAAGAAAGCAACAATGCTTGATAAGAAATGTACTCATTACCTTGCCCATGTAATTGTAACCCCTCTGAACAGTATTTTCACCATAAAAAATAAACTAAAATAAAGATAATGAATTTAAGTGTTTTCCATTTCCCCTATTTATCTGTAATTTCCTTAATGTTGACTTAATTTGCTTGTCTAACTGGACTATCAAATATTATAAAGAATCCACCTATTTTCCTATATCTATAACCTGAGTTGATCACTTTTGACAAGAATTAGAGTTTTAAGATATACAATAAAGTCTGTTTTGTGAATTCAGACACCAACCAAATGGTTTTAAATCTTGCAATAATTAGCAAAAACTCTGGCCTTAAGGGTGACATCAGTTCTTCTTAATGATACTAAAACTACAATCTAACTAAAAATGAATGAATAATATATAACCATGTTTTATTCATCTGTCATGGATATTTAATAAAGAAAATTTTAAATAGGATTTTAACAAGCATTAAAGAAAATGAATATAGCCTTCCACTAGAGCTTCAGAAAAAGATTTAGAAATAGATTTCAAAAGAATTAAGTTACATATAATATGCATAATATGCAATACTCAAATATACTTTTCAATCATTTTATGGACATTTAAAACTACAAAATCAATTTGAAAATTCAAGAACATATTAATGGATACTGGTATCCCCAACCAGAACATTTCTATTCATCCGTAGTAATTTTAATAGGACATTCAAGTAGGCCATTTTATTAGTTTCTATATTCCCTTCACAGAGCCTGACAAGAGAAGCTTAGTATATGTCCTCTAAATGAATACAGATCTCATTTCTTGTGGATCATTCCAAAGACATTTCTTTATCATTCAGTGTTTAAATGACCATCAATTATCATTTTTATAAAACTGCAGACATGAAAGAGAAAAGATTAAAGCTAATACTGCATTGCCCTATGACATATTCTGGAAATCGCTTTTTCTGAATAAGCTAAAGATAACAACTTGTTTACTTATGATATATGTCTCTTTTACTTAAAATTGAGAAGCAAAATATGAAAATGCAGCCCTTTCTTGGAAGTATGATATGGTTGGCTTTCTAATTAATTACTTCAAATTCTGAAGAAGCCTTCACTAAAGTCATCATCTTCATGACTTTTTATCAGTATCTCTTGATTTGTCAATATTCAAAACACTCTTTATTGTTTCAGTGTCACTAAGAGTACATGCTATGCCAATCTTCTTAGAGGACTCGACATTCCCTTTCTACCTCCTTTTCATTAAGTTTACTAACTGGATGTGAAGGGCATCATTCTTCAACATTGATAGGAGGTGACACCTCTCTGTAAACCCTAGGCCACAATTATTTTGGACTCTGCTTAAAGGACTAATGATCTGAGTTAGTCCAAGAACAAAAAAAAAATTAATGTATTTTTCTTAAGTTATGTAGTTGAGCATTATGAATGCCAATGGTTCTCAATTGATGGGGGGAGTGAAAGGCATTTTGCTGTCACCACCTCCCCCAAAACACGTTTGGCAATGTCTGCAGATATTTTTCGTTGTAGCAACAAAGGGAGGGTCATGCAATTACTGTCATCTCTTGGGATGCTGCTAAACATCCTACAATACAAAGGACAGTTCTGTATGTCAAAGCTGTTCTCTGGCAAACATGTTAAGAGTGCTTAGGTTAGGAAATTCTGATACAGGGGGATTGACATCCTCATGAAATGTGTCTCAAGCAATTTTGTGTTTCAAATAATTTTCAAGTCCTCTAGCTGACTCCATTAAGTAATGTTAACAATATTAAAATACAACAGAAGCATTTATTACCAATATTTCTTCCAAGGCTACCTAATAGAATATATCTTCTCTCCGCATACCTAACAATTTGAAAAATGAACAGTTCACAAACATATAAGTGGATAGTAGCTTTAAACTTCATAAGATAATTATGTGCAAAAAGAGAAATGGTTTTCTTAATTTAGCTAAAATAATTGTCATCTGCATTCACTTTTAGATACTGTTACAAGCTAGTGAATTCTATCCAAAGGGTCCCGTTTCACCAACACTACAAAAGTACTCAGAGGAGAGACTGTATTCATCAATTTTCTTTCAAAAAATTAAATCTTTCTTTCTTTCTTCTACAACATTGTAGTCTATATACTGCTGCCAAGCAACCCTGCACATTGAACACATTTCATTTTCAACACAATGACCAACCACAGAGCACAAAAGCAATCTTTCACAAAGTGTGCATGAATCAGTCAACTGTATTTGCTCAAAGGAAACAATTACTTTTTTTTTGAAGAGCATTAGTTTAGAGATAGAGGCATTGCCGAATCATTTCACTGAAAGCATAGCAAATGTGGCCAAGCTTAACATAACACAGACTGCCATTTCTCTGCACTGTTGTGTGAAGGAAAAGAAGGGAGAGAAGTCCAAGCAATTGTCATATGTTAATATAGTGATGCCAACATTGTAATCTTGCCTCTAATTTTCCATATTTTAACAATTACTTCTAAGAGAAACATATGTAAATGATATAAATATGCAATTCACAAAGATGGAAGTACAAGTGTTAGTACTTAAAAAATATTAAATGTTCAACTTCGTCAATATTCCACAATGTGCAAATTTAAACAAAAATTCTATCTTTAAATCTGTAAAATTATCAAAGAGATTAAGAAATCATACTCTCAAAAAATGAAAGTGCAGAAAAACACTAAGTCCTATGCTCTATATGGAACTGTTCATCTAAATGGATATTTGAAGAGAAATATTACAAACCACTAAATGGATTTTTTCTTTTTACAGCAACTATCACGATAAGGAAGTATTGTGTAGTACATGTTTATCTTGGAAGGTGGGCTAGAGAAAATGTGCATTATTAGCCTGATTCAAATATTTTTTCAAATAACAGTTATATTGAAGTTTAATTTGGTAGAGGTTATATAAATAACAATATATTCTTATAACTTATTATATAAAAATGTTTGTCGGCATGCTACGTTGAGGAAAGAAAGAATATGGCTTAATTGTATCACTAGAGCACAAAGCCATAAAAAAATTTCCAATACTCCATCTCCACACCAAAAAGAGACCAAATCCACTGAAATAAGTACTTTTGTGTTTTTTAAAAAATGAGGACTCACCTTAGTAAATTATCAAAAATGCATTCCCTTTCCAATTCATATTACAACACTAAGAAAGACAGGTGTCATTGTCAAAGAGAAGGGAACATCTTCATGCTGTTTGAAATCATTATCATAGAAGTACAATGAAACACTTCGACTTTTCTTGGTAGACAGGTTATTTGTGCCAATTATTAAACTGGCATGTTTTTTCTTGCCCATACCAAATGAAAAGGATAACACTGCTAGATCTATGAACAAATGACTGCTCCTTGTATTTTCCTGTACTCTTTGGAATTTGTGATAGGAAAAAAATGAGTCAGGCCATAAGTAAAATTCTAAAGTGGATGAAGAACACTTCTGTCCTTTTTTTAGTTACTAACTAGTTTTATAATGCTTCCTTTGCTTTTAGATCCATTAAATGTAACAATGAAAAGTAATAATGCAGTCTCTCAGTTAAAGGAGTCTTTTGCATTAGTGTTTAAAGTACTATATGAATATTTTCAAGTTCTAGGTTAACAATGTAATCATAACCAAAACTTGCTGCCAAAACAGCAATAAGCACAAAACAAAAACAAGAAGCCATGAATTCTTAGACAACATGACAAGGTACTGACTCGCGCTTTCCACCACCCATTTCCCAAAAAAATAAAATACATATTTCTCACACTCACAATTTTAAAAGAAAATCAAACAAAATGTTTTCTTCAAAATACTCCCCTGCCATATTTTTCCGCTGTGAAACAGAGAAGTGTCTTCTGGCAACAGCATTTGCTAAATGAAACATTGCTTGTGATAAAGTT